AGTCACTTAGGAAATGGTACTAAAAATAAGAAATTAAATACTCCACAATGAATAGGCCTTAAGGGTCTTCAACAAAATAATATCAGTCACTGAGGAATGGTAATAAAAGATAAGAAATTAAATACTCTACAATGAATAGGCCTTAAGGGCTTTCAGCAAGATAATATCAGTCACTGAGGAAATGGTAATAAAATTTAAGAAATTAAATACTCTACAATGAATAGGCCTTAAGGGCACTCAACAAGATAATATCAGTCGCTGAGGAAATGGTAATAAAATTTAAGAAATTAAATACTCTACAATGAAAAGGCCTTAAGGGCACTCAACAAAATTATAGCACCCCAACAGATGTACACTTCCTAACCTAACCTACCCACTACTCTGGGGAACAAGGTTATACCTGAGATCAGAATTATGAAGAACAATTAGAGGCATTAAAAGAATCAAATCACAGTATCACTCTGGTTCCACTTAATGGCACAAACATTCAAAACAATATTATCAAAATTATTTAGAAACTATTAAACTACACACGTCAAGATAATATCAGTCTGAGGAATGGTGTTAACTACACCCGTAATAAGGGAGGGAAAATGTTCCTCTAGGTATCTCCTAGAGACCTAGACTCACGGTCTCAGTGTGTGACCATTAGTTTACTCAGATAGCCTCAGTGTACTCCCAGTGCGTCCATAAAGCGGAAGGGAGTGAGCCAATCAGACCTTGTACAGTTGAGAGAAACTTTAGCTTCCCGTTAGCAAGAGGGTTTCACTAGCTGCTCGGGACATGTGGGGTTGTGCACCGGAGTGGTAAGAACTGATCACCCACTGCTGATGCTGGTCCCGTGTCGTTTTAGTTGTCGGGAGCACTCGTTCACTCAAGAGATCCTTTGCTACCCCGCTAAACCGTGACAGGCCTACACTGATCGGTCCAATGGCGACAATCGCCACCCTCAATCATCAGCGGCAGTCTCAAACGGCAGTCAATCTCTCGCAGTCAACTCCGGTCAACTCCAGTCAAGTGGGTTCTGACGGAAACCCTGAAATGAACTCACTGTTAGCTCTAGTTTACTTTATCACTGCCCTATCTAACCCTGTCTGAGATCGAATGAGACTTACTTGTTATACTGCAATAGCGCAGCACAGGTGACTAGGCCACGTGACTATTTCTGATGGACGCGCGGAACGTCTTGTCTGTGTGAATGCTCTCCGGGACTGGGGCCTAGCCAGCGTCGCGTCTCCTCAAGGCGTTAGCTTGGGCCTACGTGATATATTTACCGCCTAACTAATAACTCCTTGGGACACCCGTAACATTATTCAGACTGCTAAACGATCTATAATAATTTCAAATTCAATAATAGTCCCTTAACTTCATGAATCGCATCATTATTAATTCGGTAAATCACATTTAATATCATATAGGCCTAGTTCCGCAATCTCTCGCTACGAGCAGGCAGCGCTCCCTCCCCTCAGATGACCTTGAACGCTCAGTATCACTCATGGCGGGGCATTTGAAATTACTCTGAAATTTCTGAATATTACATATATATATATTTTATTTTATTTTTATTTTATTTTTTTTCGGGATTAGCCCACCCGGGCACACATCGGGGCCTGGAGGGCAAAAATGAAATAATAATAATAATAATAATAATAATAATAATAATAATAATAATAATAATAATAATAATAATAATCATAATAAAGAACCATAAGGAAATACAAAAAAAATAAGATCAAGAGTGAGAAACAATATATGTTTGTTGTGTTGTCAAGGGTAAGAGAAACAATTGAGACCCTGCAATTGTGTATAAATGAGGCAGAAAGTCACATCAGCAACCTGGAACTTGGTCTTGCGCTAGTCTGGCCGCACCTCGATTATACGTTTCAGTTTTGGTGCCCTTATTATAGAATGGATATCAATTCACTGGAATCGGTGCAGTGAAAAATGACGAAAATGATTCCGGGACTTAGAAACCTTCCATATCAAGATAGGTTATAGAAACTAAATTTGCATTCCCTAGAAAAACGAAGAGTGCGGGGAGATATGATAGAAGTATTAAAGTGGGTGAAAGGAATCAATAAAGGGGATATAGATAAAGTTTTTATAGTATCCCAGCAGGAATGGACTCGTAGCAACGGATTTAACTTGGATAAGTTTTGGTTTAGGAGGGAGATAGGAAGGAACTGGTTAAAAAATAGGGTGGTGAACGAGTGAAACAAGCTTAGCTCGAATGCTGGAATGTTTTAAAAGGAGGGTAGATAGATTCATGGATGATAGAGAGTGGTTGGCCATACTCTGGCCAACCGGCCTATTGCAGACTCCTTATTTTCTTATGTTCTTATATTCTTATGTACTAACTTGGGGGTTGGGGGTGAGGTGATGTCACTGAGGTGTTATGACTGTGTATATATATGCAGCAAGTTGCGGTGATGAATGTACTCCCTATATAGATACCAATGAAAAAAGAGACTGAAAATGAACAAAACAAACTGGGACAGCTACAAAGATAGACTTAGGTAATCACCATTCAATTAATCTACAAGGGAAAACAACAGAAGACATAGACTCAGAAATCGACAGACTGCACTCTGTGATAGATAATATCTGGACTAACAACACTCGTAACAATCTTGCAAGTGGAATTGTTTATAGCATTAGCTCAGATCACTTCCCAGTTTTTGCCATGTATAAAACAGCCAGAAGACCTGAAAGTTCTAGTAGAGTCTCAACCCAATACAGAGAGTACTGCACCGACAATATGCTCCTTTTTGAAAACAAGCTAATGAATGCTAACTGGGGTGTTGTCTATGCCTCCGGCAACCCCAACGTGAAAAGTTGCAACTTCTCTTGCATCTTCAATGCTTGCTTTGATAAGTGCTTTCCGCTCAAGATTAATTCAGTGAAAAATGTATCCATTTCCAAACCCTATATCACAAGCGAAATTAAGATAATCATAAAAGAAAAACACAAACTCCAAAGGAAATTTGGAAAAAGACCCATAACTTTCGGTGATGCTTACCGAAGTATCAGAAAGAGAGTAACTCAAGCAGTTAGAAATGCCAGACGTAACTCAGATCGGTGTGTGGAAGTGACACAACATCAAGGTGGTATGTGGAAGTCATACAACACCGAGGGTGATGTGTGGAAGTGACACAACATCAGGGTGGTGTGTAGAAGTGACACAACTTCAGGGTGCTGTGTGATAGCGACACAACATCAGGGTGGTGTGTGGAAGTGACACAACATCAGGGTGGTTTGTGGAACTCACACAACATCAGATCGGAGTGTGGAAGTAACTCAACATCAGGGTGCTGTGTGGTAGTGACATAACATCAGGGTGCTGTGTGGTAGTGACACAACATCAGGGTGGTTTGTGGAACTCACACAACATCAGGGTGGTGTGCGGAAGTGACACAACATCAGGGTGGTGTGTGGAAGTGACACAACATCAGGGTGGTGTGTGGAAGTAACACAACAACAGGGTGGTGTGTGGAAGTCACACATCATCAGGGTGCTGTGTGGTAGTGACACAACATCAGGGTGGTTTGTGGAACTCACACAACATCAGATCGGAGTGTGGATGTAACTCAACATCAGGGTGGTGTGTGGAAGTGACATAACATCAGGGTGGTGTGTCGAAGTTACACAACTTCAGAGTGGTGTTTGGAAGTGACACAACACTGAGGGTGGTGTGTGGAAGTAACACAACATCAGGGTGGTGTGTGGAAGTGACACAACATCAGGGTGGTGTGTGGAAGTGACACAACATCAGGAGGGTGGTGTGTGGAAATGACACAACATTAAGGGTGGTGTCGAAACATAATTCAAGTGTTATGACCGGGAGATATTGTATGACACCGCAATATGATATATAGCGTGGGGTTTAAAGTGTGTATAGTGCAATAGGTGGGATATAAAATAATGATATTAAAGGAAATATAATTTATTCTCATATAAGTGAAACTTAAGAAGTGTGTGACGTATGATATGTGAATGACATGATGAACATTGATAAGAAGTGCATCATGTAAAACAACAAGCACAATATTTGAATTATATACTGTAGGAGGAGGGAAATATTACAATTACTTGACAAAACACCGGAGATATCGAAAGTGTATATGATACAACAGAAAACATAACAAGTTCCATATACAATAGGAGGCATAGCAAATTAATTTTACAATAAAATATATAACAAGTTAGTTATACACCAGGAGTTATGAAAAGATTATTATAATAACCTGGTATATAAAAATATTACACAACAGGATAATATATAACCAGTTTTTTGTACAATAGGATACATAACAAGATCATTTATACAACAAGACTTATGCGACTTGTATAATACAACAGGGAAGACCAGAGTTTTACGTGACAACTGAATGTTATATAAGAGGCATAAAGTGAAAAATGAAATAAAAGGTGAATGTTGCAATAGGAGGTAAACTTAGGAACAAATTAATTAAGTATGGTTTTTTTTTAAGTTTATTATTGATATATAAGGTATTCTTGTTTCTTTGTTGTTTTAATTTATTTATTGCTTTGTGTTTAATTTTACCAATAATTGTTGACTTACATCTTCTCCTTTATGTATATGGATCATGTGGTTAAATGCTCTAAGAAACTGTTATAGTACTACATTCTGGTGACATTTTCCCTTTAAGGAAAGAATAATTTAAACACCCATAATTAACGCCAAATTTATGCCTCGTATTATCAAGGCAAAGTCAATAAATTCCCAGTTTACTAAGAACAGAATACACTGGATTATACAGTATATCTTAAATACACAAATATATACAAGCACAGACTTTGTCTGTATATTTCTTCCGCAGCAACACCATGAGTCAATAACCGTTACGGTCGTTGACTCAATTACTTATACAATAGAATTACAGTGCCAGTACCGTTTGCTGCGCACTTGTATATTTGCTTTTGTATCGATTCTGCGCATGTGCTATTCGTTCACGTCTGTCTTTAAAAGGTACAGTGACGGAGTAGAGTCACAGTTGGCTGCAAACCCACGATGATGGCGTTAACACTGAGAACGCTGGTAATAGTTCTGCTGGTGGCAGTTTTCTCCACCTCAGTTCAGGTTAGTGAGTGTAGTCTTTGGTAGTAAAACAACAGCAGCGCAACATTTCTCTGGTGTATATCAGGTCTACGGTCCTAAGTATGGATCACATACACGATTTACATAAATTCTACGTAAGTTCATTATCCTCATCAAACTGTTATCGAGGTACTTTTCATTGTCTTCAGAATACTCCGTGTTGTCTTCTCCATCACTATTGAAGATATCTGGAAATGTGATATTGAATATCTAACTGGTGGTTGATATTTTGTCTAGGTGTTCACCTGAAAACATACTTAGCTCCTGTCGATCTGTGTGTCTAATAATAGGCTAATATTTCACAGAAGTTGGTTAAATTAGCAGGTAGTAATGGCTGTGATGGTAGATGTACGGAAGTAATCAAAGCGATAATAGGGTAAGCAAAAACAGCATTTAATAATTTAAAAGGTCCATTGAAAATAAATATTAACTTCAATTTGAGAAAAAGGCTCCAGAGGGACTTTATATGACAAGGACAGAAGCGTGGACACTTTCAGCACATACCAGAAAGAGGTTGGAAGCCTTCTAATGTGGTGTTATTAACGAATGATAAGAATACACTGAGAAGGAGAGTTAAACTATTTGTTGTGTAAATAATGGAGGCGGTGCTAAGATTCATCTGTAGAAGAGTCCTTTGACTAACACAAAGGAAATGTAAAGTTTACCTCTCTTTTCTTTGTGAATTGAATCTTCAGTACTTCAAGAACATTTAGTAACTCGTTGAACAATACCAAATTAGCCAAATTATATAAATCTTCCTCATCTTCTGTTAAGCTAACAGGGCTAATAGGTGGTTTCCACTGTCGATTTCTATCTATCTATCTATCTACCTATCTATCTATCCATCTATCTATCTATCTATCTATCTATCTACCTATCTATCTATCTATCTATCTGTTGTCTGTCTGTCTGTCTGTCTGTAAAAGAACTGTCTTGAAGATAAAAATTGTGCGGGAGTCATGGGAGAGCCCGATGGGTATGAGTAATTTTTGTACATTTTAAAAGCCATAGATATCAAACACACGTTTCTTTATTTCGTGAGTATATAATATGATCATGGGTTGTGGGATGTATATATGAATTTTTTTTCATATAAATCTGAGCTGGAGAAACGTTACAGGATATGATCAATATTAGTGGATAATCCAAACATTTGACAACGAATTAGTATTAATGTAGAGTACGGCGGCTTACTATGAATGAGTGATAGAAGGCATTAATTTTTTCAATATACTAATTTCATGTATAGGTTATAGCAATAATACCCGATTTGTCCATTGGTTACGTATTATTCATTTACCTCTTACATCCACTCTTTTCGTAATTATTCCTTAAATTAATTTGGGTAAGTCATTACTTGGTCATAAGTCGTGTACACACCACCCAGCCCAGAACAAAATACTAACCTATCGTGAAGTAAAAACGCGGAGATATGAGGAAAGGAAGTACTGTGACAGTGTGCATAATTTGGCTACAAAAACAGCCCTCTTTTATGATAGAAAACTATGAGAATGATAACTTTATCTTTCTATGCAAGTGATAATTGAGGTGTTAATATATTTTGTTGCAGGGTGACAATGAGTGTGAAGATGCTGGTGGGAATTGTGTGAACAAAGAGGAATGTGAAGTTCAACCAGCTGCAGCAGACTGCCAGGAGGAAGATAAAGTCTGCTGCATTACTCCTTCAAGAAATAGTAAGCGCTAATGTAATAATAATAATAATAATAATCATCATCATCAACATCATCATCAGTATCCATTATTATTATTATTATTATTATTATTATTATTATTATTATTATTATTATTATTATTATTATTATTATTATTTGTATTATTATTATTATTATTATTATTATTATTATTATTATTATTATTATTAATGAGTAAATTAATAGTGCTCTTTATAGCTGGGTTGGCATTTTTGTAGACGAGAGGCATACCTTAGCACGTGTGTACAATATAAACAAAGCCGGCATGCGTTATATATGCTGAAAATGGTGGAAGTGCACAATTTCTAATATACTTAGATGGTGCAGGTAAGCAGAAAGGCAATTTGACCAAGGACATCCGACATTACCACCAGAAGAGTATTTTTATGAGAGTGACATCGAAAACCTGTGAGTGTAAAATTTGGTAAAGTTTAGCTCTCATTGAGCTAAAAATTATGTTTTTCCAAATCGATAAACTCTATAATATGTTATTTGTGCAGAGATCGAGAAATCGAGGCTCCACAGGCAAAAGTCTCAGAGGGAAAGACACCAGCAAAGGAGGAGGAACAATAAGAAAATGGAGCCGAAAGAAAAAAATGAAGAGAAAATAAGAGATGGCAAATATGGTACAAAGCCGAAAAAGAAGTCTTGCACCGACGTCGGAGGAATATGCTACTCAAAGTGCTCTAACGGCAAGGTTAAAGGCGGCAAATGCTCAGCTGGAGAAAAATGTTGTAAGTATTTTTTTTACAAAGTTAAGTATACAGCAGACATGTTAAAAAAGACTTTTACCATTACCTGGATTGAACTTTTATTTTCTCTAACACGCGATAAGGTTAAATATATCATCATCCACCCGAAGCCAGTGTAGTAATGTAAGGGTTAAATTGTTCTGCCACTTGACATTTGTGTATCGCCTTCATCTAGGAAGGTCAACTACCTGGGCTATGAACACCTGCCTCCAGTACCGACGAAAGCCAACATTTTATCACAAGTTGGTTAATGTGTGTGTGTGTGAGTTTTTTATGTATGTATGTACTGTATGTATGTATGTATGTATGAGTTTTTTTATGTATGTATGTACTGTATGTATGTATGTATGTATGTATATATGTATGTATGTATGTATGCATGTATGTATGTATGTATATATGTATGTATGTATGTATGTATGTATGCATGTATGTATGTATGTGTAATTTTAATTTGCCGTGGACAGCAGCTAGTTTATTGTGTACTCAATACTTATCCTGTGAATGGTAGCGCAAAAGGATTAGAGAGTAGAGGCCACAAAGGGTGTTTATGAGACCCCTTTGGTCATGATATTATGGCATTGAGTGTTACAATTCCCAGTACATTGTTTGTTTAAATCGGCACATAGAATTTTTATTAGGTGCTAGATGCAAAGTGTGGATACAGCCTTAGTATATCAGGTATCTTCCCATCACAGATAAAGTGCTGTGCCATCTCATATCTATACTTATAAGTTTTTATTTTTTTTTCCGAACTATGATGTAGTGTTGGAATGTGTAGCCTTGTGTCTGACTGCACACTTTACATTTAGAGTTGTTCACATCTGTTTGTGGGGCATACTGCCGGGGAAATGCAATAAATCTTAACCTTAGTCTAGCGGTGATAAGTATTATTATCTAGTGATTTTGTTACTTGCTTCATAGACATGTATTACTTGATACATCTTATCATGGTAAATAGTGGGTTGACTAAAGCCTCTTTGCATTTATCTACTTGCTTCAAATTCATCAAGTTCTTTTCTGATTACAGTTTTTATGGTTCTGTTTGACAGTCCTAGATTTTATTCAACATTGTATATATTGGACGCGAGTTTATCTAAGGCATTAAATTTATCGTGTTGACTGACGCGTATGTGAGAGGGGATCCACAGTAGCTTGACCCTAATACCTCGTCAACAAGTGGGTGACAATCTGAGTTTAGGGTATCAAGAGCGGGTAGTGATTTTGAGACTGCCAGTGGTAGTGTCTTCAGCAAGTTTCTGGGCTGTGAGTATGGCAAATGGTTCAGTTTTTTGAGTGAATGCCCAGTTATTAATTCTAGCTCCGTTTTCTATTATATTACCGTTAGGTTGAGTCACAATGACAGCACTTCCAGGCCTTCCACAGACAGTGTAGATCAGGGGTTCTCAACCAGGGGGGAATTTCCCCCCTCAGGTTTTCAGGGGGGGGGGGAAACTGATACTAATATGGAAAAATAAAGGATTTTCAGTATTATATGCATATTATTTGGAATGCACTTTTTGAGGCAGACAATCTTGGAAAGGAGGGGGGAATGACATTCTGACATATGGTGAAAGGGGTGCATGGGGCAAACAAGGTTGAGAACCACTGGTGTAGATGGTCTGTGTGATGCTATTTTCAGTTCATAGGTTATGTATGTGTTCAAGAGCTCTTTGGTGTATCAACCATGTACAGATTGTATTGTCCAAACATTCTCATATGTGTAGCAGTAGTTTGGATCTATTTAAATTCACCAGTTTCATGACTCATATAATTTAGCACTTTCCTAGAAGCAATGTTGTATGGGCTATCATGAGCTTGGTCCCAGTTACTGTATTCTGTTTTTGACACTGGGTATTCCTAGTTCTTTCCTCATATTGAGTACTTTGGTGTTCATGGGACAGCCTAAGTTTATTCTAAGAGCTTTATTTTGCGTCTTTTTGAGTTTGTCAATGCCTCTCCCGTCACGAAGGACCAAGGCTAGTGTGAGGTAATCTATCACAGATCTTATATATCCTAGGTACATTGTGGGTTGTACCCAGCTACACATTTAAGGGGTTTTAACCTCTCAGTACATTGGCGGGTTAGCTGTTGTACAGTGAGTCAGGTGAGGTATTGCAGAGGAGATAGAGACACCGAGATATTTAAGTTTTGATAGTTTGGATAGACGTCGTTTGTGGTTACCAGCTTGTTTGTTGAATACTTTAATTTTCTCAGTGGAGATGATGAGATCAAGGTTCTCACAGGCTGACTGTACGTACATGGTTCACAGTGGTTTGCACAGTGGTTTTAATATATATAAGAATGTTATTTGCATAGCTGACACTAATATTGCTGGGGCTGTCTGGGATTGACTTTAATAATGCATTCATAGGAGCATTGAACTCCACCTTTCGGGGTACCAAGTTGCAAATCTTTGACGTCACTTTTGTAACCCTGAAACAGTGCAGCTACTTTTCTGTTTGTGAGGTAACCACTTATCCAGTTATACAGCCGACCTCCTATATTCATTTTTCTAGTTTGCACAATATAATTTGCTTATTGGTAATATGAACTGCAGCTTTTAGGTCAAGAAATGTGGTGTATATGTGTCTTTCATTCCCATGCACTGTTAGGTATGTGGTGATGCAATTATGTACGCATTTATGATTGTCTTCCGAGATTCATCCTTTCAAAAGTCTTACAAAGGCAGATAGTTAGTGATATGGGACCAAAGGCATCAGGGTGTTCCAGCTTTGGTTTTGGTCCAGGATGTGGGTAGTTGGCCTTCGGCATGACTCATATTGTACAATGCCATTAATAGAGTGAGTCAGCACACGCCTTAGTAGTCTTACAATATTGAAGGTGACTTCGTCCTTACCAGGAGCAGTGGATCTATCCTTAAGGAGAGCAGCATTAAGCTCCCACCTAGTATATGGAACATTCACTCATCGTGTTGTTTGCTCAGCATAAAGTTGATGAGATTACTTCGTTCTACAGACTAGGCATCAAGGTGCTCTCGATTCCTAGTTGGTAACATGTTATGCTTAAAGACATGAATCCACTTCATTATTAGGTCATTATATTTTTGTAGCGTTTTTGGATGGGATTCGTGCCTACTGTGTTTACCTCTGATTGTGTTTATGTCTCTCTAGGCTTTGCTAAGGGGTGTGTGTTGGTTCAGGCTGTTGACATATTTTCCCCATGAATTTTGTCTAAGTTCATTCGCGCCCACCCGGACTGCAGTGAGCGAAGCTTGAAACAGTTTTAACATTTGAGGAGTCCTGTGTTATTTGTAATCCTCACCAGTCTTCCTGGTTATAGAAGACATTGTTGGTGAAGAGATTTTGGTAATTGTTAGGCTTGTAATCCTTGTACCAGTCATAAATGAAGTCTCTAAACTGTTTTTTATATTCTTTCTTGACTGTGAGTCTACGTTTGTTAAGTTTTCCACCAATGGGGGGGGTGGCATTGGCTACATATATACTGGTTGGGATTGGTTAGTAATCAGACATAAGATCAGTAGCTACATCGGAGTTCTAAGTTGTGGATGAAAGATTAAAGCCAATACACTTCTCTAAAGCCCGCCATAGATGTGTGAAGGCTCGCTATCAACAATGATTTGAACATCTTCATATGTGCTTAATAATTAAATAAGTCTCCTTCCATTGGTATTAATGGTGGGGTCAACCTTGTGTCTAGTGCTCAGGTTCCAAAATAGGACAGTGGTTTCAGTATATATGAAGAGATCTGTGTAGTGAAGCTGATTTGAGGGAGCATAGGCGTTGAACACTTTCGTATGTAGAGTGTTCCCATGATAATGATAATAGTAGTTGGAAGTCCTTTTTGATACAAGAGGTACAAAACCTGTGGTGGAGAACAACGCCTTGACATGTGCATGACTTCCATTGGCCTTACTGTCATCGTTGGATTATTGTCATACTCGATATCAACTGACAATAAAGTAGTAGTAGTAGTAGTAGTAGTAGTAGTAGTAGTAGTGTGTATGCGTGAGAGAGCGAAACTAGTGAAGAATATGGAAAGGTGAAAGTGTGCCAGATGATACGAGAGAAGCCATCGTCAATACCCTTTATAAAGGAAAAAGTGTGAATATGAATTATTAAGAAAATATTTAGGAAGCAAACAGTTCACGTACATCAAAAAAATTTTCTCTGACAGATTGTTGAGAAAGTTTTGGATTAACTTGTGTGAAGAATCTAGGAGGTGAAAGTTGAAAACGATTAAAAGTTATATCATATTTTTAAACATTAAACAACCAGTGTGACTAAAGGGAATAAAAGAGATAGAGGAATTTAGATTTTAGAGTTTTACGTGTAATAAGGTAGTAGTGGAAAAGCATACTCTAAGAATGCATTATCATAAGGAATAATAACAATTATAAATGAGCTGCAAATGTGTATCAAATTTGTGTGAAAAGGTTTATTTCCAACCGTATTATATTTTCAGAAGGTGAAAGATTATGCAGTAGACTGTAAGTCAGAAATGACAAAAATATATATCAATTACTTGTGCGCTATCATTAAGATA